AAATTCATTTTTGTGTATTATTTTATCTTCTTATTAATTTGGCATTTGATAACAATATGCTGTGCTAATTTTTCGCACGGGCCTACAAGTTTTTAAAAAAGTCATATATTCTTATCAGGTTTTTATTTGATTAAATTTTATTTAATAATTGAAAATAAGCAAGGATGAAAAAAAGTGTCTTGATTTGCAGTCAAAAATTTCTTTAATGAGTTATGTGGGTCGGTACGTGGGATTATACATCCAAGAACACAACCCTCAGTCCAGTCAATGAATGCTCGAAAAGGGGTATAAAAGGAAATGGTGGGGACATAATTTTTGACTTAGGAAATTGTTTGGACTAGTAAGGAGGTAAACATATTAAAAGTCCCCACTCCTAGGTGGTGAGCCTAATGGAGTCACTTTTTTCGGATTTTCGCTAATATCAGAAAACTATCCGTCGCATCGACAAAGACGTTCTATACAAAATTAAAGCTGATAAAATTTGCAATATGATTTATTATATACTTTTTTTTTTCGCCACCTCGCTTAGTTTCCGAGATATCCGTCCTCAACCATCACTAACTTTGGAAAAAAAAATTGTTTACTGTATTCGTCTAGCTAACTAACGAGGAAAAAACATTTTAATAATTAAATTGTCTGGAACAAAGCCTCTTTAGAATAATAAAAAACTACAAAATTAAAATATTACATCTGGCCTAAATAAAAACACAAAAAATAAAAAGAAAGAAATAATTAAAGAAAGCATTAGTTAAACATACTGTTAAACACTTGAAACTATGCCAAGACACTTAAAACTATGTACAGTGGTAAAACCCAAATATACACATAAAATAAAAAATACATTAAATTCTTCTAAGAAAACCGAATCTGATAGTAAAAATTGTCTGAATATTTAAAGATGTACGTCGTTATATTGCCCTAACTCACTCATATATATATAGGAGAATTTGCAAAAAATATATATTTAAACAACGAATATTATAAAAAAGAAATGTTTTTCTGCAAATTCTCTGACGAAGGACGAATATCTCGGATTGTTGAAGGTAAACTAGTAAAATAATATATATTCTTGAAGACAATTAAATTATTAAAAACTTTCTTTCTCATGACTTGATCGTAGAACGAAGCGGTCAAGAGTTAGCTAAACGAATACAATATAAAAATTTCTTAAGTTAGTGATGGTTGAGGACGGACATCTCGGAAACTAAGCGAGATAACGAATACAGGTATATAATAATCCATAATGCAAATTTTATTAGCTTTAATTTTGCAGAGAACTTTGTCGGTGAGATGGATAGTTTTTCTAATATAAGCGAAAACCCGAAAAAAGTGACCTATGCTTCATTCACATCTGGCTCACCACCTAGGAGTGAGGATTTTTAGTATGTATACCTCCCTACTATGTATACCAAACAATGTCGTAAAGTAAAAAATTGTGTCCCTGTCATTTTCTTCTATAATATAATATTCTATAATATACATATACATTGACTGAACTAACAATCATGGGTCATCATCAGGACATGTTTTCAACATTGAAGGTAGGTAGTTAAGTACTTGAACACCTTCAGTGCTGGTAACATAAGATTTAGTTGAAACTTTGGCAACAGTAAAAATCTTAAAAATCCGTCCTGACTATTTATCACCTATCTTATTTAATAGTAATTTATTTATTTAAATATTTTGTTACCATTTCACAAATGACTTACAAATTTATTATTAATCCTCGAATTACTAAATACTAGAATATCCTTCTATTTACTAAATACTTTAATTGAATATAGTTAAAATATATTATAGCGGTAACGGTTGCGAAAATTAGCGACACGGGATAGCTGTTACAGGATTAGACGTTGGATGGCCCTAGTGTCTAGACGGTGACTCAATAAACTGGCCCCCGTCTCTTCTAGTCTAGCTTCGTTTAAATAGCTTCTGCTTTACTCCTATGTACTATGTCGTGTTGCTATGTATTATACGATGTTTTTATATGTGCTATACCATGTTACTATGTACATTATGTACGATAATACATAACTTTATCGTCTCTACTAGAGTATTGATTACTAGTACGTAACCGCGAAAGCTATTATTTATTAGAAAGAATGAAGGAAGATTCAGATGATTCAGAAGGCAATGAACTTGATTATTACATAGATGAAATCCTAGCTATATTTACATTACGTTTTTGTGGATATTGCACACATAAAAAACAATCAATCGAACACATCAAAACCTTGCAATAACTTTCTCCCTGCGTTTACGAAGTTAGCAACACTTTACAGGGCCCCGAGCTGCGGTAAAATCGTTATTGCTAGCGGTTATATTTAACACCCTTTTCGTTAATAATTTTCTCGACTTTTACACATTTAAGAGGTTTACGATACCTAGCACTGCCTGCATGAATACCCCTAATGTAATATTATCGAGATAATCTGTTCATCATAAACGATTACTATTACTGTTCAAGTAACAATGTACTTAATAAATGATTAGCATGTCCCATTGGAAAATATCCATCCAGTTTATTAGTTAAGCAACAAGGCGCAGCTATCCCTCAACTCACTAGCGGATCCAGGATTTAATTTTTTTGGGGGGGGAGCTTCAGCCCGAAAGCTTTTTTTTTCATAAAAATAACGATAATTAATTACTTCGGAAAAAAAGAAAGTAACTAACTACCTATATGAAATGGTGTTTAAGAGATCATTTTTTTCCTTAAAAAATGGTTATATTTCACGACAATTTTTGGAGAGGGCTTCAGCCCAAAGCCATCTCTCCTTCCCACCCCGTAGAATCGCCTGTGCTCAACTCTTACTAATATTTTTGTACTCGCGCAGGGGACTGGCAGGCTTCAGCCTTGCTCACATTTGGCTCGCTGTCAATGACGTCATCTCTCCCCAAAAATTTAAATGTATTCCTTAAGGTGCTTTATATTAAGTTATATTTTATTTAAATTATTCATTATACCATATTAATATTCATATATATTATTATTACAAATATTAATAACAAATTTAATTTTTATAATTGATTGTGTTTAATTTAATCTTTTATTTTTTTGTTTCAGGTAAGATTTCTTTATACTTTGGTCACAGTCTGGTGTTAAGAGAGATATGTATGTAAGAAACAGAATCCGTTTATTTATTGTTTAATCTTTATAGACCGTGGTACAGACCCCTTTATATCAAATTTTTTTTTTTTTTTTTTTTTTATTGAAAAATATTACAATCTGTCTCAAGGACATTTATAATAGTGTTCACAGATCACATTCACACTCTATGTACAGTAAATAAAATAAATTATACAGAAAAATAACATATATACAATAAATAAGAATAAAATAACCTAAAAATAAATAAATAAAAAGAACACATACATACCTATATACAATAGAAACTTCGTAACTTTATAAGTAATTTCATCTGATCGTAACCTACCAATATTTTATTTACGAAAATTCTCGGAATTGGCAATCTGGAGAGGGGGAGGCAAACTTTGTATATTTTATTAGGTACTAAAAACTGGTAAATACCCGTTTGCTTTCCACCAGAATCGAAAGATAATGTTAGCACAAAATCGAGAAAAAAGTTGGCCTTCAAATATATTGAGCCGTTTGTTGTGACCTACACTGCCAAATTCTCAAAATAACGAGGTCATATAGGACAAACGGCCCAATATTTTAGTATACCACTTTTTTTATCGATTTATTGATCAAATTATCTTTCGATTCTGGTGGAAAGCAAATGAGTATTTACGAGTTTTTAGTACCTAATAAAATAGATAAAGTTTGCCCCCCTCCAGATTGAAAACGCCACAATTCCCAGAGTTTTCGTAAATAAAATAGTTGTAGGTTACGTTGAGATGAAGACCCGTTAAAGCTATTTACGAAGTTTCAGGAGGATTTTAATAATTTGATAAAAAAGGATCTGTACCACGGACTATTAATTTGAATAAAATATCCAAACTATTATGAATTTTAGGTATATTTAGAATGAACAGCCTTGCGAATGAATCGCTTATTTCCAAAGTGAACCCTAATTAATTTTTATGAAAATTGAGACAAGTATCGACTCGCGTTAAAATAATATCTAATCGATGCGCTAGTTATTTCAGAAAATATAATGAAGCTTGCACATCTTGAGTATTCTTTAAAACAAATAATTCATCAAACCTTTTGTAACCTTTTTATTTAATTAAACATTAACCTATTTTATTGAAACATTATTATAAACAAAAAGTACCTGATGCCCTGTGATTCTTCGCCAACATGCCAAACCTTTGTGGCTCCTCTGACAGTGAAACACATTTTAACAGAATTCTGAGCTTACGAAACACTTAGACAATCTTATGACTTGACAAACGATCTACACATCATTTTACAGGACAATACATATGAAATTGAGAAATTATTTTCTTTTCTGAAATGTTCGAAACTTGAAAATAGAATCTAATTCTCAATGAAAATGATACGATAATGAATGATCCTAGTGGTTGTAGCCTATAATTAAAAAAAAAAGTTAATCTTTTATACTAAAATTTTCATTTATTGATTTTACACCTGTTTGCAATATTTCAATGTAGTTCTTACAATTTTTGCTATGTGGTACCATGCTTATTTATTTATAAATTAAATATGCATACATATACTTTGAAATCTTTCTTTGTATATACAGAGTTCTAGAGACCAAAGTTGTTTGTTTCAAATAGACCAACAGAATTATGATGTCGATATAAAAAATAGAGTTGTTATTATTTTGATAGTCTTGCTTAATAAGTTTTTGCATTGATAAATATGACCAGAATTCACAAATATGTTTTTTAAGTTACAGTTTTATTAAAAATGCTCATAAAAACACTTTTTATGAAAGCCCAATTTTTTCCGAAAATAAGTTCTATTTAAGGTAAAATGGTAAGTGAAACTGATGTGATGCGCGCACTAGATTTTTAAAATATTATAATCCACCTTATTTTATAATAAATTAGACGATATTTCCGTAGACAACATGTTCCTCTATAGATGTCCAAGTCGACTAGGTCGTACTCCTGACGTGGAAGACTTCACTGTTGTCCTTGCCATTCATTGTTCCTCGACTTCTTGTTGTACTCCCACACCGTCATCGTCTATATGGGCCATCTGGTCTCCTATAGAGGCTACAACAACAGCTGTTGGTGGTCCCTGGGTGAAACCTCCTCTGCTACGACAATTCGATAGCGGTCGAAACTCTCTTCGGGGTGAAAGCGTCTAATCTTCCCTGTCCGTTGTTGGCAGTCGATATAATGGGGTCGTCACTTCGGGCTAAATGCCGAGTCACTTTTGTTCGTTATTCGGAAGGCAGTGGTGGAAATATAATTTACATTATATATTATACGGTAGTATACATTTTTCGGCTCTCTGAAGCGATGGCATTTTGATGAGGAATCAAACGAAAGAAAAGAAAAAACAACACGAAATTCCTGACTATTTCAATTATTAATTTCTAATTCCAAAACTATGTTTTCCTAGTAATCAGTTCTTTATTTCAAGAATTAGAGAATGTTTAATTCGGTTCAGATATATGCGAAATAATGTTCGCAGTCAATACCACCTGTACATAGCTATATACAGACATACTGTACCTTGTAAATGGTTAAATTAAACTTATAAAAATAAAAATTGTAGGACATTAAATTTTGTGTTTGTAGAGAACCTAATATATTATTTCCAAATAGAAAATATCGAATCAAAATAGCACCAAAACAATGGTCATTTATTTTTCTTCTTACTAATAATCAAAAATTGATTTTTCATAAACAAAAAATTTACATCAAAATTGAATTTTTTGTTGATGGTGTATGGTTCTTTAAAACCAACGAAATGTCCTAAAAATATATCATTGAATTCGGAAAACTCGGTACAAAGATATGGTGTTCTAAATATTTTCTATATGTTCTACTGCAAAGCTTATAGAATTTTAAAATTGCTTAAACATAAACTGAACCAATGCAGTCCATTTTTTTTATTTATCAAATTAACATTGATAAAACTTGAAATTATTTAGGCCAATTTTAGGAATACCTTTATTATGGGTGATAAATATTCAGGATGCAGTCATTGTAAGGTTTTTATTAGTGCCGACGTTTCAACCCAAACATGTGGGTCATCATCATCAGGCCGTGGTTTGAGCACTGAAGGTATTCAAGTACTAACCAATAATTTATTAAATTAATCGTTTTTGGTGATTGGGAAATATGGCAAGTATGGTTGGGTTTTCAAAATGAAATGTGTGGTTAAGGGTTATAGCGAGTTCAGCATAAAAAATTTTCAGCCCTGATGATGACCCATGTTTGGGTTGAAACGTCGGCACTAATAAAAACTTTATAATGACTGCATCCTGAATATTTATCACCCATAATCAGTGGTACAGTCGACTAACTTCCTTATAGAATTCCCTTATTATTTATTTTCTTAATGTTACATGGAAAGTAATGTTATTTTTTTAAATTAATTATTTAAATTAATTTTGATGTTAAATTTTTTGGAAATAATAAACTATTTTGTCATAATTTGCAGCGTTTTTATATGTATGCACAGGAATTTATATATACACATGAAATAAATAATCAGTTTTTTAAAGCTAAATAAAGTCAAATCTTTTCATTTACATAAATAGGACAGAACTTAATCTTTTAAAACTTAAAATTAGTCCATTATTTATTATTCTCGTCGGACGAAAGGTATTTTTAGTAGTAAATAGAGTGTGAATGTGCTCTGTGAACGTTATTATAAATATCATTAATTGTGCCAGATTTTAACATTTTTCAATAAATAAGTACTAATTCAACAGTCAACTACATATCCATCTCTAAAAATATTAATATATGTATATATTAAATACCATAATTATGCACGATAAAAATTTATTTTTTTACAACTTCATGTGTCCGACGAAAAGAAAAGGATTGTAAACGGCCGAAACAGAAAATAGCGGACAAATTACTGCTAATGGAGTATTTTCTCTTGAGCGGGACACTTTCTCCAATGCCGCTAACCACAGCTCTTAAAGGCTCTTACCAAAATACTATCTTACGTAGGCTGTGATTAGTTCGGTACGAGTTGGATTCCCGCCCGATAGAGGATTAATAGGCATTATTTATGACTGATTGGTTCAACTTTTTTCAACATAAGTTTTTCCTTTACTTCGTCTTGTTTGTTTCTTATTATTATTTAAGTAATTCCTTAACTATATTTTGGCTCAAGCTCCCCTCTACCACATAAAAAAAAAAAAAATTGAAAGAAGGAAAGACCTACGCGCGATAAGCGGACTTGTTTGGGATCAGATGACTAACCCGTAGGAAGTAGAAGAACCGATAAAGATGTGGTTCCAGAAATTAGTCAATCAATATCTGATGATATGAAGGCAAGGGGGTTAATCATTAATTTGACATTCTATCCATGTAAACACATCCACAAACTTGAAAACAATAAATATTAAAATCATCGAAGATGCTACAGAGCTGTATGGAGACTAACTAACTAAAAAGTGACGTGGTATCTTTCATTCTTGTTGTGTAATGGATTGCTTTAAGATAAATGCTCCAACCATCTTAACCTTCTTGCCTTCATATCATGAGATATTGATTGACCAGTTTCACTAATCAGCACTAGCGGATCCAGGATTTAACTTTGGGGGGGGGCTTCAGCCCATAAGCTTTTTTTTTCACACATATAGCGGATAACTAATTTGGAAAAAAAAAGAAGAAAGAAACTAATTACCTATATTACATGGTGTTTAAATGATTCTTGAAGTCTTATCAGATGTAATTAAACAAACTATAATACTTTAAGAGATAGTTTTTAATATCTTTTTCTGTAAAACATGCTTATATTTTACCATTTTTTTTGGGGGGGGGGAGGAGGCTTCAGCCCGAAAGCTCCCCTCGTAGATCCGCCTGTGCTAATCAGTAATATAACGATTTGTTTGTAACTATTATTCGACTAATTTTTATTAAAAATATCAAAGCGTTCCTGTTTAGATTATCTAAGATGACCAGACATATTAAAACTATTCTCCTTTTTTTTTTTTAGCATTTTAATAAATTTTCAGTTTGTCACAGTCTATAATGAATAGTAAATTCTTAATTTCTAATAATTTGAACGAAATGTGATGAGTATTCCAGGAGTTTTTTTACTACTGTATTATATCTGTAAATTAACACCATGTCCATTTTTTAAATGAAAACTTCTGTAGGCACGTTTTGCACTTTTTTTTGTGGCGAGTGAGTTAGATTTAACCGTCAGATCTCAGATGTTTAACGCCTAGGTAAATTCGGTGGAGTCGACTAATAGAGGTGTCTTTGCATATCGATTAGAATAGCTCAAAAACTTAAAATCGGACCTGCAAGTTGTTAGCGAGGGAAATGTTCATTATTTCATTCTCTTTGTAATGAGCTATTATTCAAAATTTTATCTTAACGTCACACCATATTAGAGAGGCGAAAAGAAAAAGATATTGTCGATAACCAAGTGATAACGAGTTTTATTGAAGATATGGACTAAAATATTTCAAGAAATCGGACCTGTATACTGTAAGCGAGAGAAATGTTCTTCATTATAATGAGCTGTTATTTTTAATTCAAATTTCTTATTATTAATCTCGCCTTGTTAATGATTTCACTTCTATCCTGAGGTCTGAAGCCTACACCTTAGTTTTAGTCAATAATGCTTTTTTTTTTTTTTGGAAAATAGTTTATTAACTAAGAAACAAATTTAAATATCTCAAAGTTATGAACATGGTATTCTCTACCTCCGAGATACAGATATATTTAGTAAATAGAAGCTTTTATTAAATAAATATGGGATGACGTGAAAAGCATCGACTTAGCTACAATAGTAGCCTTGAAGGAGCATTCTCACCTAGCGCCAGCGAAGGAATGCGTCAGTGGAGGATGTGTTGTGAATTCTTTATTTGTTTTAATTACGTAAAGGTTCATCTCCGACCTCTTTGTAATGCTAACTAGCTTCCTTCCACTGTGGCTGTCCTTGTCAATCATTTTCAACTCTAATCAATCTATCGAGGTAGTTCAATCAATACCTATCTCAACAGAGCTATTTATGAATTATATTTATATAAGTATTGGGTTGGCAAATAAGTTCTTTCCGTTTTTATGTTACTATGATACACTTCTTATCTGATGAATTAATTCCTAAGGTAGATTGTTTATTCCGTTTGTAATACGTCTACAACTGTATCTGTTAAATCTTGTTGAAACTAGCTTAGTATTGTGTTTGCTATTGCACTGTGCAATATGGAAGAAAATATCATTCATTATCGGCATGTTTTGTTGTATTATTTTAAAAAAAGGTAAGCGTGCTGCAGAAGCTCAAAGAAAAATTTCCAGTGTATATGGGAAAAATGCCTTAAACGAACGCACCTGTCAAAATTGGTTTGCCAAATTTCATTTATTATATTCAGTCTCTGCAGATGGAATTCTGAATGGAAAGAAATTCCAAAAAGAAGAGCACAACAAAAACCACTTGGATCAGTGTTTCGTTTATTATTTTCAATAATGAACCGTTGTGATGGAACAAAAAAATATAAAACTTAACCCCCCTCTCAAAATTTGAGGTTTTACGTTTCAGAATACGTAGAATTCGAAAAACGAATAAAAATTTGTTTGGCCGTCCGCAGTCCACGCATTTTCTCCGAAACTACTGGACAGATTTTTTTCAAATTTGATTTAAAATTAGAGGTCCCTCGAGGATGATCCTCCTTCATGGACATTTCTGTCCGCCTTTTCCTTTCAAGATGGCTACCGAAAAACCTGCCTTTCTGTAGCAATGTACCGATTTCAATGAAACTTCGGTAAAGTCGCATCTCTTAATCGTGAGATATATTTTCCCATTCTTCTTAACCTAAAATATAAACAATGAGGACTTCCGTGAGCTGTGTCACAAATGTCAGTCTGACTCGAGTCACTATCGGTCACGTCCGATCGCTAGGCGTCCAGTTACCTGGATTCCTTCTCCCGCCTCGGGTATCCTTGTATTTAATTATCAGTGGTTATCTACAGTTTGTCATGAAGACTAGTGTAAAATAAAAATAAAAAATTAAATATCAAGGATGAAAGTATCATTAGTAATAACATTTCTCTTTTAGACATCTACATTTCTACTTTTACTTTTTTTTTTTTTTTTGTTAAAGTACCATAAATGAATTGATGTATTGCCTGAGAAATAGTTACCCTTTAACTAGAAACTGAGGCCGAG